AACCTCAACTCATCGTGACGAAGGCCGCGGCACTACAACAGAGGATCGACCAAGCTGAGATCTATAGTCGAGGAGGAGATCCTATCTTTTTCTCAACTCAGTGGATACGATAGCGAGGCCATTTTTTCTTTAAATAAAAATGACAAAATATGCAAAGTTTCTTTTGCTTTTTCTTTCTTGGCAAATATGATCCTCACCAAAAATTTGTACAATCCCCTCTATGAAGACACCCCTAATTTTAGACATGTTTGATCCATTTTTCTGCTATTGTCTTTTTTTTTTGCATAAGTTTTATGCTGTTGTCTTGACGCTAATGAAATCCTCCAAACTCTTATGCGTATCCATTTTTTTTTTTTGCTTAGAACACTTCCGATGCAAGATTAATTTTGTGCGTAGCATTAGTTTTTTTGGGACTTTCTCCCCACTTCTCTACTGGTAAAGTCAGTTTTCTGACTGTTGCATCTAGTTAAAATCAAACCAGATTAAAAAAATATACAAAATAAATAGTTTCTTATATAGATCTGACAGTTGAGAGTATGAAACTACTGATAGTTCAATTATTATTATTATTATTTTGCTAGAAAGATAGTTCAATTGTTTTGGTCTTACTAGAGAAGCTCCTAATTTTTTTTTTCTAAAAATGAAAAATAAGAGTTAATTTATTTCTTAAATCCCTCTAAAATTCTTGATCGTTTTATTTAACTTTGCAACTGTCTTTTATAATTATGTGTCACACCCCTATATAAGGGTTAGTGACGTGGAGACTTGTTTAGAAATTTAAACTTGTTTAAGAAAATAATTAACAAATAACAGTGCAAAATTCAAATCTAAAATATCCATGTATTTCCAAACAAGCCCCACTAATTAAGAGAAATTCAATTTCAAGAAAAGTGGTGGAATTTCCAACAAAACAAGTTCAAAACCTCATCCCTGGTATCATGTTAGGAATTCCCACAGGTTTAGCATACATGAATATAAACAAAGTAAATGTTGACATCAACCACAGTCTAGTAATATTTGAGTTTACAATCCATAATTTAATACATGCCTTGAGATAAAAGGAAAAGAAAATGCAAATCTTCAGTTCTCGAAGATGGGTTCACCTCACCGGTAGTAGCTACCTACTCCGCACTACTCCTCGCGTTGCCTGGAGGGGTTTAATATATTTAAAACAAGAAAAGTGAGCGGAAGACCCAGTATGATAAAATTTTATAAAACATTATAAATAAAGGTACTCACGGTCCGAAGACATACACTTAGAACCGATCATCCTTTTTAGAAAAAGGAAATACTCACATAGTAGTAGAAAAATATATGTATAATGAAAATATGCAGAGTCATAACACCACTGAGCAAGAAGTGGATCCGTACAGGTTTCGGGACCTGCCTCCAAGGATACAATTCCCATATCCCGATCTCTGAGGCCACCATGCATTTTATCATTTCTTAAAATATTTCATTTTAAGAAATGATACTTTTAAAATCTCATTTCTAAAATCACTGGAAACTCAATAGCATAATTCATGCTATTTCCTTTAAAATCATTTTTTTAAAACATGTTTTGTTCTAAAATAATTTAATTGGATAAAACCATTTAAAGTGAGGCTAACAAGGATATGGACAACAATATCCTACCTCTCGGATATCAAACTTGGGCTAGCCTTTCGTTCTCCTAGCCTTTGCTTTGCTTAAAGCTTTAATACTCGATCTTCTCCACTAGCTTTATCACAAAAGCAATGTCTTATGATATATTTCTCATTCCTAAAATGAATTAAGCTCAATCATGTTTAATTGTTTCCTATTAGTGTGCCTTGACTCAAATCTAAGTTTCACAAACGATTTTATAATTTAGTTTGGGGGTTCTTTAAAAATTGAAATCTAATTCATGGGTTTGATTTCCTATTTAATATCAGCTTAAAAACAAGTTTTTAAAGAAATTTCGGTAGTATACCGACATAAATAGGAAAAATGCCAAATCTGCAATTCAAGTTCAATTTCAAAATAAATTCTCTAGAAATCATCAAAACTAGTTTCCAATCAATTCAACAAATCTAATAACTGAAAACTCCCAAATTTAATTCAATTCTAACAACAATGATTCAAATCCAAACCCTAACTCAAAATTATTCAAATCTAACCAAAATTTTAAATTCTCAAATCAATAATTCAAATTCAAGTATGAGTTTTTAAGAAATTTTTACCTTAAAGTGATTGAAGCTCGTTTCTCTCCATTTCTCTCATTTTTGTTGTTTTTTTTTTGTTTGTAGGTCTCGGCCAGCAAGCCAAGAGAGAGAGAGAGAGAGAAACGGTTGGAGAGAAAGAAGGCTGGAGAGAGAAACGGCCGGTGGGAGGGAGCCCGGCGAAGAGGGTATTGGCCAGCGGTGGAAGAGAGAGAGAGAGAGATGTGGTGGGTGAACGTGAAACTAGAGGAGAGAGAGAAAAGAAAAAGACAGAAAGAAAGAAAGAGAGAAAGAGAGAAAGAGAGGTTGCAGCCACGAAAAGGAAAAGGAAGGAAGGGAAAAAGAAGAAAAGAAAAAAAAGAAAAAGGAAAAAGAAAAGAAAAAGAAAAAAAAGGAAAAAGGGACAAATGGAAAAAGAAAAATGCATTAAAATTTAAGTGTATTTTTAAAAATTTTTGGGGTGAAATCATAAATATTGAAAATAATTTAAGGTTTCTTAATTAATTATGAAAATTAAATTAGGCACACTAATAACTCACAATTTAGCATAATTAAAGATGTTTAATTCTAGAGGGCGTTACATTATGTCTCTCTAAGTTTGATTTGAAAAGGAGAAATGGTACGAATGTAATAAAAGTTTTGAGTTAATCTCACAAATGGTCTCTGAGGTTTAGCATCAATCCTACTTTAGTCGTTAATTTTTTAAACGTCGCCTAGTTGGTCCCTGTGATTTTATTCTGTTTCAGCTTTGGTCCTTCTGTTAGTTTGGTGTTAATATTTGACGGCATCTGTAGAAATTATGAACTAAAATTGGAAATATATTAAGTTTCGAGGTTAAAATAATACATAAAACTAAAAGTTAAATTCAACATATAGACCTGAAAATTTAACGGCTCTTTAATTTTAGACTCTAGTTTACATAAATTCTATCAAATTTTAACGTCTAGTTGATGAAAGGACCGAAACTAAAACAAAATGAAACATCAGGGACTATCTGTGCAACGTTTAAAAAGTTAATGACTAAAGTGAGATTGAGTGTAAATCTCGGGAATCATTTATGAAATTAACCCAAAAGTTTTGTAGAAAGAACAAAAATATGTCATTCAAATCATAAGAGAACACAACATATAACATGAATAAACAAGTTTACTTTTTATCGAGCTTACATTAATTACAATAATTAGCGATATGTGCAAAATGAATTTTTATTTATTTCTAAGATTATTATCACTGATGACCCTTAAACTTTAAGGTCTTCACAGTTTGTCTCTTGAACTTTAAAAACTCTCATGTTATCCTCTAAATTTTGAATTGTTTTCACTTAACCCCTTCTATTGCAATTTCTATTAAAAACAGATAGAAAAAAGTGAATAACGTAGTCACTGGTCTTTCTGTTTGGATTTTTATTAAAAAGAAACAGTTAAAAATCACATGATTACACTTAACCCCCTTTTGTTTATCTGATTTTAACAGAAATTATAATAAAAGTGGTTAAGTGAGAACAATTTAAAGTTCGGCGAGTAAAGTGAGAGTTTTTAAAGTTTAGAGACAAACTAAAAATGACCCTAAAGTACAGGGAGCACCAATGAGAATAATCCTTATTTTTAAAAGTAATCATAATAATAATTCCAAAATAAAATGTATGTTGTCTGATAAAATATCTTTTTAGATCATACCCCTCAATTTAAGGTTGTTTCTGTTGGATATAAATCTGTTGTCTAATTTTTAGTGTCTTAATTGATGTCTAACCAATTAAATCATATCACATCATCTTATGATTAACACAAAAAAATAAGTTAAAAAGCAATCCAAACTTTTTACATGACATGACATGATTTAATTTGGTAGATACCAATTAAGACATAAAAATTGGACAACAGATTTGAGTTCGTTTCTGTTATGTCTCGTTTAAATTTTCACTAAAAAGAATAAATAGAGGGGATTAAGTGGGGTCATTTTATGCTGTCGGGGCACTTTTTCCCAGTAACGTGCCGAGAGATACGATAATTTATTAAATTTTATGTTAGAACTTGCAAACTGAAATGATAAAGTTGCAAACTCGAAAGATAATTTGTGAAATTTTAAATTTTATGACGAATTATTCGAGTTTGTAAGTTTTAATATAAATTATTGTAAAATTTAAATTTCATAAATTATCGTAACTTTTACAACTTTATCGTTCAAGTTTACAAATTTTAACGTAAAATTTCACAAATTATCATATCTCCAAGCATGGTGAAAGGAATATTCCCCCTAGCAGCATAAAAGAATCTGATTAAGTGAGGTGATGAGTTTTCATCTTCATTTGTTTTTAACATTAATTTTAACAAAACAGAAAGTGGACTAATTTATAATTTATGGGGAGATTTTTTGGTACGTTTAGTGTACCGGTACGTTATATTTTTTTAACCGTTAGATTTATATATATTTTTGACTTTTATGTGATTTTATACAAATTTGACAAACAGAAAATTTAACCTACCAGTATATTAGCGTATCGGAAAAGGTCCTTAATTTATAAGGTAAAATAAAAATTTTAAAATTCAAAGGATAAAGTTGACAACAATTTGTAAGAAAAATGTTAATATTACTTTATCTATCCTTCTATATTTATTATTTGACACATAAATTTTATTAATATGATATATTATTATTTAAACAAAACGTGTTATTTTTCATTTACTATTATCAAAAATAAATTTAATTTGAATGTATATCTAAATCACGTACATTTTCTGCTGACCGCACCTCTGTCAAAGGTAGACCATAGATCTGGAAGCACAACGAGAAGAAGATTCCGCCAGAACACACGACAACCATTCATTGATTCAATACAACTGATATTATTATAACTAACACAAACAAAACTGGTTTCTCTTTTTTCTTCTTAACGAATTCCAGTTTCCCCAATGGCTTCTCACTCCTCCGTTTCAGTTTCTCACTCGTCCATCACATGTCTTCTTCCCACCAAAACTCACTCCGCCTCCACACCCCACCCTCTCCACTGCCCACTACGACGTCGTTTATTGAGCCTTGGGAATCGAACGACAACGAGAAGAAGCTTTTCTTCTGTCAGGGCATCTCAGGACGACGTCGTTTCCGTCGTTGACCCTCCGCTGGAGAATGAAAAGTCGCCGGGGTTTGAGCTTGTTCCATACTTGAAGCTCAAGTTACTGGTGAGTCCTTCAATACCCTTTTGCGGATTTTGGAATTTTTTTCATTCTTTTATGCTTTTAGATTGTTTGATGAAGTTTGTTTATGGCTCCAAAATTATTGGCTTATTAGAAAACCAAAAAATAAAAAATTCCTGGAAGACTAAATACCTAGATTGTGGACATTCTTAGAAAGGCTAGGAAATTTGATTTATTATGCAATACAGAAATGAATGGTGTAAGATTCTGTGCTTGTGTTTTAGGAACACAATGATGTGTTGTATTTCAAATAATATGGTAAAATTCTGTAAGTTTGAGGAAAAATTTTATGGGCTTCACTAAACTTGATTTCCTGACTGAGTTTCACCAATTAAGTCGTGTGGCAAATGCTTATTCTTTATGGGGTTATTTCTATTTTATACCTTGCTTTTGACTTTACCGAAAGGAAAAGAGAGAGAGAGAGAGATGTATTTTGGATGTTCTTAAGATTGAGCCTTTGAATTGGAATTTCAAGTTCATGTCAAATTTATACCTTTTCTGGGTCGATGGTTGATTTTGACCCCTGAATAAAAGATTAAATCGTGTGGCAAATGTTGCTTATTCGTTATATGGTGTTTTACTTTTCATCTTCTAGTGTAAGGCAACAACAGGTTTAAGTCTCTGGACTTTGTTGTAATTGGAGATGATAATAAAGGAGGTCATTTATGTACAGTTAATTGTGACATTTCTTAATTTTTGGTGTGTAGCATAGTCAGTTCATGCCTCTAACTTCAGTCTCTTTCGTATCATATATCAATCGTTCAAGTTTGTGGAGTGTAAATATTAATGAGCCCACATAGTCAGGCCCATGGATTCTATCATATAGTGGTAGGACTTCTAGTTACCGAAGTACGTCTGATATGTTGCAGAGTGCTGTTTCTGGAGTAAATAGAGGTCTTGCAGCGAATGCAGATGATCTACGCAAGGCAGACGCTGCTGCCAAGGAGCTTGAGGATGTTGGAGGACCGGTTGATTTATCGTCTGATCTTGATAAACTGCAAGGGAGATGGAAACTGATCTATAGCAGCGCCTTTTCATCTCGAACATTAGGGGGCAGCCGTCCTGGACCTCCCACCGGAAGGTTACTTCCAATAACTCTCGGCCAGGTATGCCATGAAAGCCTGTTCATTGTTTTCTTCTACTGCAGCCACTTGTTCTGAGCCACTAGCATTTTCACTAAATAAAAAGGGCGAGAGAAAGAATTGCCAGAGAAAATACTTAATACGTATAGCGTCTGAATGGTACATCTTCAAGCACCTTAGAAACATATGCATGTATAGAATATATGAGCGTCTCTTAAGTAAAATCTTGTAGTCTTAAGACTTGAGAGTCTGTAGAACAGGAGATAGAAGCTTGTTACTTGGAAAAAGCATCTAAGACCCTGTCCAATCAAATGTCAATGCCAATGCCAATTCCAATCCTATGTTCGGTACCAAACACAGCATATTCCATATGTTCTATTTTGTACTCCAGTGCATAATGCTATTTTGAATGCAGTAGTTCTTTTTGTCATAAGTTTTAAGCTTTAGAAGGTGTCCATGAAACTTTTTAATATTGCTACTATTAAGTGAAAAAGCAACACAACAACAACCGGTAGGCAACCAAATGCCAAAATTTGGCATAGTGCTATATCTAATGCTAAATTTAGCACTCAGTATAACATATGTCAAATTTGGAAGATGCTTTCCTTGCACAAATGCCACATTGCATAGGAATTTAGTATTGCACTAGAGATGCTCTAACCATGTAAAAGTTTCGCTATGCAACTCTTTTAGATGACTTGGGTCCTAGACATTTATTAGTGGGTTCATACCCTTTGTCGTTTTACCTTTGTTGATCACTCTTGTTTATGTGGTTTTGATACCATCTTAATGTACATCTTCCTCCATGACTAGGTATTTCAGCGGATTGACATCTTAAGCAAAGACTTTGACAACATAGTGGAGCTTGAGTTAGGTGCTCCATGGCCCTTGCCACCTCTTGAAGTGACCGCCACATTAGCCCACAAATTCGAACTCATAGGTCGGTTTTTCTCAGACTGTCTTGTTCTTTTAAATCCTATAACTTCTCCCAATACATGCTCTAATTATGATGATAATAGGATCTTCAAATATTAAAATTATATTTGAAAAGACAACAGTAAAAGCGACTGGGAACTTATCACAACTACCACCATTGGAGCTGCCTCGGCTTCCAGATGGATTGAGGCGTCAATCTGATACAAGAAGTGGTGAATTTGAAGTTACCTATTTGGATGACGACACCAGGATTACCAGAGGAGACAGAGGCGAGCTTAGAGTTTTTGTGATTTCCTAATGCCTTGGCACTTGCAGTTTTGCCTTCTCAAGCTTCACTATTTTATTACTATAATTTTTATTTATATTTTTTGGTGGCTGTTGGTTGATTATTACAGCCCTGAGATGGAGGGAAACGTTGTGAAAAATGGTGCTCAATGAAATTGGTGTATAATTGTAAATGGCATTGTATATTATGTGAAGTTTTCCAAAGATAAACTAATTTAAAACTGAGAACTATTTAGCACTTAATATTTTTCAGTATTTATTTATTATTTTTTTGTGTACTGGGGATCAGCGCTTAAATTAGAAAGGCAGCATTCCCTTGCATATCATAGTTTATTTTTTTTTAGGCAAAAAAAAAAAAAAAAAGAAAAAAATCAAAGAAGCTTTCTTTACACATTATAGGAGCATTCTTTTAAAAAGAATTATGCTATAGGATATACAGAGACGAAGTTATATAGAAAAAATAGAGAATTTATCCTCGTGAGTGTATGAGTCTGGACATTTATTATTTACTCTTGATAAATACCATTTTATTAGTGTAATTATTTAACTAAAAATATTATGAATAAAAATCTTGACCCATGCACTTTCAAAGTTTAAGGGGCTTAAGCCCTCCTCAATTTTTTTCTATTTACAATTATATACACTTGTTTATATAAATTCCATTCCCTCCAAAATTGCAAACATTAATTGGAGCACATAACATATCTAATTACTTAACAAGATCTCTTCTCCTCAATAATAGCTTTGGTAGTTTGTTAAAGTAATTCTATTTGTTTTCTCTCATCTTCTAGTTCTTTTTTTTTTTCCATTGATGCATATATCCTCTTTTTTTTTTCTTTTTTTTTTTTTTTAAAAAGAGTATACAATAATTTGTTAGGGAGAATGTCTAAATTATGCATCATAATATTTTTATATATAAAAAATAGAGATATTAACAAAGTAATCAATTAGTGATATGTTTATAACATTTTATTTCTCTTGTTTTGTTTGTCATTCTATTTATGATTATACTTGTTATAATTGCTATGTTTGATAGTATCAGTATTGGGATTTGTTAAAGTTATAAGTTTTCCACTTTTATCTTGCTGATAAAAAAATAAAACGAAAAAATAATGGATGAATGACAATTTAATTATGTATTAGCTCCCAACTAAAAATTCTGACTTCGTTACTGAGAATATTATCATTAAAACACAATCTTTAATTGTTATATCACATATGAACTAGATTAAAAAAAGTATTATAACTGTTAAGCACTGTGATTATTGAGAGAGAACATGTTAACAACATTTTTTTACACATAAGCGAGTGTTTTGTGAAGGATTTGTGATAATTTTTACAACCATCTTTTTTTTAAGATCTTAAAATCAAATTACCCAATCCACTAAATTTGGTTTAATATTTTCTTTAAAATAAATTTGGGTTAATATTTAGAATATATTAACATGTAATAACGTTTTCTATTTGTTTTATTTATTTATTTGGCTAAATCGTAATGAATTGCTATTAGTTTCATCATAACTCTGGTATTAATGATATTACACATTTTAACACCGTTCAATATTAATGGTTTAAGAGTTGAAAAAACATTAATTTATAACAGTTCTCGTCAAAATATTCTATGATCTACCAATACAATACTCTTATAATAATGAGCAAAATTAGCATAAGCTACTAATTTATATTTATAAAACAATCCTTTTTCTACGGGGTTTTTAAGTTCTTTTTCTTTGTTTTTGAGGATCTCATTGGCATCATTGTTTTTTTTTTTTTTTTTTTGAAATGAAAAAATATGGCATCACTCGCAAGGCTGAAAATGAGTTGGGAATTTTCCCCTACAAACAATATATAAAGATGCACTCAGCATACAAACAATTTTTAAGAAAATAATATATTTTTAAAACGATTAAAATAAATAACATATTTAATAGTAAATATGTATTTATTCACGCCCGTTTAGTTTACTGATTTGAGTTTTTAATTCGAGTTGAGATGTAATTTTATGTGAGAGTTTTTTACTATAGTAAAAAAGTTAGATGTGACTGTTTCTGAGAGCTTTTTACTGTAACAAAACTCGAATTCTAAACTCAAATTGGTGAAATGAACGGGGCTAAAAAATACATGATAAATACTATATTTAAGTCGAGTATTAAATAATTTTTTTTCCATCATAAAATGAACGGGGCTAAAAAATACACTGATAAATACTATATTTAAGTCGAGTATTAAATAATTTTTTTTCCATCATCAGAAAGTAGCAAAATATGTTATTTGCTTAAAAGTAGTTTTATTTTTTGAGAAGGTTATTTAAAAGCAGCTAAAAAATAGGAATTACTGTAATACATTTAAGAAAAAAAAAAGAGAGCTTTTTTTTATTTATTAAAAACAGTTTTTCTTTTAAATAAAAAAGAATTGGGCATTACCATTTTCGATTTTCGATTCTTTTATTTGTCTGTCCTACTCCTTTTCTTGAGAATAATAATTTCCAAAAAATTTTCAACGGCTATAATTCTCCAACGGTTCAAATTTCTCAACCTCATTTCTCAACGGCTATATTCATTTCACGAAAACTCTTCTTCCTCTTCTTCTCCTTTCTCTCAGATTTCAAGCTCAACCAGCACACTTTCTCTCTCTACTAATCAATCTCTCTCCTCTCTCTCTTTCTCTCTCTCTACAATCGAAATCTTGAATAAACTCACAGTAATGGCTCCAACGCCTTCTTCTTCCTCCAAATCGAACCAGTTCAAGACCCCGCAATCCAAGCCCCATCGCCTCCAATTCCACTCAAAACTGCACCCTTCTCCGAACCCCAATTCCGCCGCTAAAGAAAACCCTAACCCTAATCCCAATCCTGCAGAACACCCGGTCGAAGTGATCGCCCGAATTCGAGACTACCCAGACCGGAAGGACCCACAAAACCCACCCATTTCCACCCTCCAGATCAACCCCCAAAAGCAGAGCATTCGTCTCCGTGCCGATTTCGGTTACCGAGATTTCGCCCTCGACGGGGTTTCTTTATCGGAGGAGGAGGATCTTGGCGCGTTCTACAGCAAATTTGTGCAGTCGAGGATTAACAGCGTCAAGTTGGGCGACAAATGTACGGTCATGATGTACGGCCCGACCGGTTCGGGCAAGAGCCACACGATGTTCGGGTGCTCGAAACAGCCGGGGATTGTCTACAGGTCTCTGAAAGACATTCTTGGGGATGAGGAGGACGACGGCGACACCGACGGCGAGCGGGTCGGGGTCGGGACTTTTGTGCAGGTGACTGTTCTGGAGATCTATAACGAGGAGATTTACGATCTCTTGTCGGTTAATGGCAGCGGCGGCGGAGGAGGAGGACTATGGCCGAAGGGAAATGGTTCTAATTCTAAGGTAAATCATACACACTAATTATCTTACTGTGTAATACATATTGTACAATCTTATTATTATTTTTTAATCACATTGGTATGTTGGTTTTGGGTTTTGGTTTTGCTGAGCTTACTTCAATATACATGTTAGCACATTTTTTTCTTTAGCCTTTGTTTTATGTTTTATGGTATTTTGACCTTACAGTGAACCTAAAATTGGTTATGAAATGCTTATATTGATTTCTGTATTCTCATTTCTGAGTGTATATTACGTATTAGTTTGTTTGTTTGCTTTTTTTTTTCATCAAGCTTTGCTTGTATATTCTATGAGGTTAAATCAAATGGGAATTTGCATTAAAATATTCAATAATAAGAATATTGGGTTGAATTAGATATTACTTTTTTCATTGGCAATTTAACCAAACTATGCCATTGCTACTTGGGGGTAGAGAAATTGCTTCTTTTGGTTATCTTAATACTTAGATTCATATGTACTTTAATAAAGGCAAGTAAATAAGTCATTATCATCCAAGAGATATTCGGGTTCTTGCATTTTGCAGGTAAAGCTTGAAGTGATGGGAAAGAAGGCCAAAAATGCAACTTACATTTCTGGGACTGAAGCTGGTAAGATTTCCAAAGAGATTCAGAAGGTGGAGAAAAGAAGGATTGTTAAGAGCACCCTTTGCAATGATAGAAGCTCTAGAAGCCATTGCATGGTATAATTCCCTTAGATTTTTCTCGGATATAATTTCTTCTTCTAGTACTTGGAGTTAAACCAGTTTTTGGCTAATTCTGCATAGGTTATCCTTGATGTACCGACGGTTGGAGGACGGTTGATGCTTGTTGACATGGCTGGCTCTGAGAACATTGAGCAAGCTGGTCAGATTGGTTTTGAGGCAAAAATGCAGGTAAAATTAAAATTGATGCTTTCTTAAGTTGATGTTAGTTGTCAATCTATTCTTGAATATTGATGTTTTCTTCTTTCTTCACGAAAGACTGTTGGTTTTTATTGGTTCTTTTGGGAATCAAATATTGATTAATATTAAAAATTCAATTTGAAATTAACAGACTGCAAAGATCAACCAAGGAAACATAGCACTGAAAAGAGTGGTTGAATCAATTGCTAATGGCGATTCACATGTGCCCTTTAGGGACAGCAAACTGACCATGCTTTTGCAGGTATATTTGTTTTGGTTACTGTGGTTTAGATTGCTTATTTCAATGAAGTTTGATTGACCTTTCTGTTGTCCTGTCTGTTAAGGATTCTTTTGAGGATGACAAATCGAAGATTTTAATGATACTCTGTGCAAACCCGGATCCAAAGGAGATACACAAGACAATTTCCACTCTTGAATATGGAGCAAAAGCGAAATGCATTGTCCGTGGGCCTCATACGCCAGTTAAAGATGGTGGTGAGGATTCCTCCTCTGCTGTCATTTTGGGATCAAGGATTGCAGCTATGGATGAGTTTATACTTAAGCTACAAAAGGAGAACAAGCTCAGAGAGAAAGAGAAAAATGAAGCACACAAACAGCTCTTGAAGAAAGAAGATGAGGTTGCTGCTTTGAGAGCAAGACTCGAGTGTATTGAAGGAAAAGGTTCTGTAAAGGAGGAAGAAATCAATATTAAGGTGAATGAGAGGACACAGATTCTGAAAGTCGAGCTAGAAAAGAAGTTGGAGGAGTGCCAGAAAATGGCAAATGAATTTGTTGAATTGGAGAGGAGGAGGATGGAAGAGAGGATATTGCAGCAGCAACAGGAAGTTGAAATGCTGAGGCAGCGGTTAGAGCAAATTGAGTTGGAGCTACGTTCAAACGACGGAAAGGATGATGCAGTTGGGAAATCATCAATGGAAGGAAGTGGGCTTGTGAAAAAGCTATTAGGGCTTTATGGCAGCGATGACGCAATGGTTAAGTCAATGGATCTGGACATGGACGATCCAGAACCGTTTGTTCGCGAGGTGAAACATGTTGGCAGTTTTATTCAGCAAACTGACAACAATGGTGGCAGCCAATGTTTATATCAACCACACCTTAGTACTTTTAACGACCCCTTTGCTCCTACACTTGGTGAAAAATTAGGCCTTAGCACTGTATATGAGGAAGAAGAAGTGGAGGAAGAAGAAGAGGAGGAACCTAAAGGAAATGGGGAAGATGAAGAAGTGGATAAAGAAATCATTGAGGAAAAGAGGATCTGCGTGGTAGACGGGGTTAAACCGCACTTGAGTATATTGGCTGCATATCTACATGAGAATTCTGAAAACACACCAATACCAGATCAGCCAAGCAAAAATCCAGAGGAAAATGAATGTTTACTGGAAAAAACTGAAGATAGGTTTGCGAGTTTAGGTCTCAAAAGTGTGCCTCAAGATGATAAGGATTCCGCGTCAAATAGACGCGTGCGAATTCAGAACATCTTCACACTGTGTGGGAACCACAGGGAGCTTTCAAAACACACCAGAACACCACTATCTGCTAAGAAGATGTCAGAAAACATTGACCCCCAGGTAAGTTTCTAAATATGGTGTTTATTCTTTTTCTTCCTCTTCACATAGATCACCACAATTTTTCGGTGACTTTGCGATTGATTGTCCACTCATTCTTGTATGTGCAGGAGCAGACCAAAGGGACTCAATCTCCGAGTCATCCCCCGCAAACTCCTGTTCCATTGAGATCCCTAGAGAACACAATAGCACTCACCCCAAATGCTTGCTATTCACCAGAGTTAGGAGATCACCTGAATTCTTCTTCTTTTATTACAGTTAGAAGATCAAGAAATTAGGTGGTTGGAGGGTTCTACTTTTTGTGTGGACTTTGAACAAATGAACTCTTTTTGTATAAATGTTTTGTGCTATATATACTATACTAATATTATATATGTCCTTGTGGTTCTGAACAAGTAGGTGTAGTTGTTCACTGGAATTGAATTACTTGTTGTTCATTTTTTTTTTTTGTTCTTATTTTTTTTTATCTGAAATTCGATTGCTTAAAAAGGATTGCAAGGATTGTGAATGGCCTTAGGCTAAGCAGTTAGAAGAAGATATGATATGGTTGCTGAAATTTATTTCCTTCTGAATAACAGATACGATCTTTTCTCAAAATAAAAAAATAAAAAAAAATAAAATAAAAAAAAGGTCAAATTTCATTATTTTCTTTGTAATTTATTATTTTTACAAATTCGTTTAAGTCTTTCAGGTAAAGACAGAGTATTGACCATTCTAATTAGTATATTTTCACATGAAGAGCCTTTGCTATCAAGAAACCCTAACTGTCTTTTGACAAAGAGGAACGAGAGAGAGAAAAGAAGCTTGAGTATTGGCTGGAGTTCTCGCACCGGCTCCGGGCGCGTTGCTAGACTCGCGGCTATAAAAATCGGTCCATGAGCTCATGGTGGCAGTGTATCGTGGGGGAGGGGGGCTATTAGGGCGGACCGGGCTTCATTTGGAAGTTGGAAACTGGACGTTTGGGAGGCGTTTTCTGGCACCAGCAACGTTAGGTGGCTGGGTCCTTGTGGAGGTTCGATCCTGGCGGTGAAGGACTTCCTAGGGGTGGTGCTGTCTCCGGAGGTTGGCGTCAGTGGCAAAGGTGAATCATTCACTGCCTTTTGATGGTCTCTTTCCGGTGGCTTTGCCGCTTAGCTCTCGAAGCCTTCTTTCTTTGAGGTCCTCTTGCCGGCTGCGTTGTTGTTAGAGGCTTGCACCAGCGATGCTTTGGGTTTTCCTTTTGCTTTGCTTTGTTGTTTTGATTGTAATAAAGGTGTTGTGATGTTGCTCTCTACCCTTTTGTTGCTTTGTAATAACGGAGGTGGTTTCCCTACCGTCCAGTGTTAGTTATGTCTCCCACTATGTTGAGTTGTTCACCGATGGTGTGGATTGTTTGGTCAAGTTAGAACTATGTTTGTATCGTAATGCTAATGTCCCCTTTGAGTGGGGGTTGGTGTTATGTCCCTCCAGCGCTCAGAAGCTTATTTTGATTTGAGGGATTTTTTTAAATAGAGCCTTTGGTATGCTCGATCTTAGTGTATTGAGGTTATTTCTCATTCTCAGGTCTTAGGTGTACATCCGTCTCTCCATCGGGTCATCAACCTTATATTGTATTGTTTGTTTATCTATTTCTGTTCGAATACAAGTTTTCCTTTAAAAAAAAAAAGTATATTCTCTTATTACTAAGGTCAACGCCTACTTAATTTATGCTCTAAATTTATTTTAAGCATCTAAATCATTTATGATTCCAATTGATAAGCATGTTTCATTTATGGAAAAAAAAGTGCCTCGTACAATGTCATATATTTTTAGTTAGGGGTGAACAAAAAATCGATAATCCGATGAATACAATTAACTCATTTCATCCATCTCATTATAACCTGAATTTGACTAACTCGATCTAGAGATCAACTCAATCCACCCAATCCAACTATTAATTGGGTGAGTTTGGGTTGAGTTTTTCTTAACCCAACTTAACTCGAACCCACCAAATCTATTTATATATATAAATAAAGATTTTTTATCTCATAATATAAAGTATTTGACTTATAATTTACATTATTTACTTGAAAACCTATTATGTTTTATGTTGTATGAGTTTTTATTATTGTTTGTTTGTTGGTTTACAATTTATATATTTGAACTTATGAGTTTTATTATTGTTTTGCATTGATTTATAACTTACGAGATAATTTTAGAGCTTTATAAGACTAATATTATGATGAAAGTAACTTTTATATATATATTTATTATTTTAAGTTGAATGATTAGCTTTATTTTTGTTTTTTATTTTTTGTTTTTATTTTATTATTATGTTTAATCCGATTGGGAGTTGCTTTTAAATGTTGGATTGATTGGGTGGGTTAAATTGAACATCAACCTACCCAAACTTGATAGGATTAAAAATCTCAAAAACCCACCCAACCCACCGATGTTTACCCTTTTTTCAATTTGCTTGAATATCCTAAGCCTAATAATCCGTAAGAAAAAAAAGCTAAATAATAAGGAAAATACTTACGGAAACATTCAACAACAAATTTGTATCAATAAAACTAAAGAAAGAGAAGAAGACAAGAATTGTGGTTAGAGAAACTTTCTATTGTTGCCGCCACATAGAATAAGAACATGGAACTACGAATGGAAGCAAAGTCAAGTTTCCCGTTTGGAGTTCTACTTTAAATTAGTGGACGTTTAATTTATGTATTCAGAATTATGATTTAGAATTATTTTTATTTTATGTGTATTTTTTATGAGAGAAAATTACTGTAAAGAACCATGAATTATAATTCAGAATTATGGACGAATACATGAACCATAATCATGTTATTGAAAAAATATTTCTTTCCAAAAAAAAAAAAAGAAAGTACATTTGCATAATAATTCGTAGAAGTGTCAAAAACTAATTATTCTTAGTAAACCAAAACTAAGAATTTAATCAATAAATATGAGATTTGTTCCTAATTTTGTGACTAAATATTATATATACTCGGTAAATATGAAATTTACCAATTATTTTTTTTCAATATAGGTGACATTTATCAAGTCACTAAATATAAGATTCACCAAAATCAACATCTTTTCGAGCTGCTTTTTTTTATTTTTTTTATTTATTTTTTATTTTTTTAAGAAATCCTCCCCTCTCCGCAAAAATCAGCCATTTCCCCAAATCACTTTTCCTTATTTTATTTTATTTTATTTGTTTTGTTGTTTCCTGTTTTTGTTGAAGAATTGTCCTCTATAAATATGTGATAGAGGCTAGCTGAATGGTTTAATAAATTTTCTTTAGTTTTCAGGGATTGAATTTTACTCTGACGTCAATTAGTCATTGTATTCTTCAATGGAAGATCCATCTCTACAGCAGGTTCTTGGTTTTTTTTTTTGATTTATTTTGTTAACATTTTTTTTCCTCTGGCTTTGAAGATAAAAAAAGATAACTAATTTTTTTCTATATAAACTTGTTTTATAGTTTAAGTGGTTTTTCCTTTTATAATATTTTTCAATGCTGATAAAACAAGTATATATAAGTCTTTGTTCAATATCTTTTCTTTTTCGATGATAAGAAATATAGGGCACTTACTGCTGCTATATAATTTTAAACCCTCAAATTTTCATCAAAAGTAATAGTGTAAAAATTCATATCATATTTTGAATTATAATTCATAATTCACTATAATATTTTTTTTTATAAAAAATATATATAAATTAAAAATAATTTTAAATTCACGAATTAAATACTTTTTGTTGATTTAATATGATATAGTTAAAAACTGTGTTCTACCGTTTCGTTAGCCCGGCACATAAACCCTTGACATGATTATTGACCAAGTTTTTGTTTTCCTTTTCTTTATGACAGAATAATGGTTTTTGGAGAATCAGGAAAGAAGTGTTCATGAAAGTCAAGAAATCTGAGACAGAAAGAAAGTTGAAAGCCATATTACATGGAAATAAGATTTTGAATGACCAAAACTCTACGTGGTTGGAATCCGGCCGCCGCCGCCCCCTCACCGAAATTCGTCCTCCATTTTTGACGCCACTGGGCTAGTTAGACTCAGAGTGGGACAAAGATGAAAACCCACAACCCAATTGCATGTCTCCGCCGCCGCACGTCAGAGATCTTAGGCCGCCGTCGCTCGCTGCCGAGGGTGAGATCGAACCCGTGGTTTTCGGCAATCATGAGGTGAGTTGTGGGTGTCAAAATACTCAGAAGGACATGGGGAACAAAAGCCGTCAATCAATTTTTAAGTTCCATGCCCGAAGATTCAAGGTTCGATCCACCAAATTTTACTGAATTTGCATAGTTCGATTGGAGCCGATAGAGGCCGAATTTTGTGAAATTGGTTTCACCATTGGACTCAAAAGATCCGAATTAAGAGGGTAGTGTTGGTTTTAAAACGATTTTCTATGCGGAGTGTGTATCTAGCGGATTGCCTATATGAGAATTGAGAGAATTACAAATCTTGCTTACAATATAGTTAATGACATATAATTTGAAGCTGAGATACGTTAATTATGGAATTCATGAATTAGGTTTATGATTATGTTAAATGTAGTATATAGTTTTCTAATAAAATTTAATAATTTTTAAATAAGTGTGTAAGCGAGAATTGTAAAAAGTAGATACGCTAGAGACTCTAATAGTAAATCTTAGATATACTTGATAAATTCAGGATTTATCAAGATTTATTAAGTTAGAATAACTTGAAAAAGAACGGTATAAATTCTGATGGTAAACTCTAGATATACTTAGTAAATTTAGAATTTATCAAGTTAGCATCATTTTTTCAAGAACCGTATACAAACTCTAATAGTAAATCCTATATTTATAGAAATTCTGATGTTAAATCCTAAATATACTTAATAAATTTAAGATTTACCAAATTAACATCATTTTTTCAAGAGTTGTACAAACTCTAATGGTAAATCTTAGATAACTCTTGTTATCCAATATTTACCAAGAGAATATTTTTAAATTTCAACTAAATCCAAATTTAAATTAGATTAACCTATTTATTTATTTCTCTAAAACATTGGCCAATCAATTTTAATTTCTCTTAAATCTTAGCCTATTTAGCCTATTTCTTTCAATGTCTTTTTTTTTCCCATAAGAGTACAAAATATTATTCATTACAATTGAATAATTACTTTCAGAGAGGTGTTATTTACTGCCTTGCAATTTCCGTTAGAATTTCTTAGTTATACGAGTATCTACACCCACCAAACCACCAACCCACCAACGTCAACTCGAGTGTAGTTTCTCCATGTTTCACAACTTACAAGCACTAAAAAAACAAAAAACAAAAAACAAAAAATAAAAAAGGGTCGAAATCATGAACAATCCGAGCACTAAGAAAGGTTGCAAGTTGCCAAATGGTGCTTTTGACGCGTAAGAGACGTACAAAAGACTTTGACCGTTTTATTACACACATGAACAATCCAAGCCTTGTCGTGTTAACCAGGCAAAAAAAAAAAAAAAAAAAAAAATCCAAGTCTTGTATTAGGATTGTCCTAAACTTGCACTTGGATAGTCTCAGAATCTCAGGGTTGAAATCATGTAGATATAAAAGGTAAGTTCATTATCCAATTCAATTTGTATGTTCCTTTATCCGTATGCTCAACATTGAGCACTTTATTTTTATTTTTTCTTTTAAGAGTCATATGAGATATATCTAAATCATAATTTTTCTCCATATATCATCACAAACACCCATAAAATGAAGTTTATTAATTTGTTAACCAAGAGATGCATAGATGTATACAAAAGTTCCAATATTTAGTTGTTTATGGATCATATTGCATATATACTGCACCATTGCGGGAAATTTTATCAGCAAAAATCATACTGTATTTAATATATTACTTACTATTATTGCATAATTATTAATGATATTCAGATATTAGTGTAAAGGGTTCATAATGCAACACAAATTAGAATACATCTTTGCATTTAGTGAGCTTGTCATTTATGGTGACGAAACAATCACTTCTTTATCAGATTTATTTGCAGAATTCTGAGTTCATGACCTGAAAACTTATGTTATATTTATGTTTTGATCAGTTTTTCAGGTCTGCATAAACAAATGCAACGTCACAAAGTACAAGGGACTGTTTCTTCAAAATTTCCTCTACCATTTTTCAAATTAAACTCCTTGTTGAGAAGCTAGAAATTGAAAGAATATGCTAATTACAAGTTCTGACTCATATCCTATGATGGGTCATCATCCAAATTTGGTTTTCCTTCTTTATATCATCACAAGGCTTGGCAATCTCACGTATGCACAAACACCATTTTGCTCAAACGGGGGAGTTTACTCCACAAACAGTTCATACAACAACAATCTAAAACACATCCTTTCTTCTCTCCCTTCGAACATCATCGCCACCACCAGCGGCTTCTACAATGTCACAGTCGGAAAAGATCGCGACAAAGTCTATGCACTTTCTCTTTGCAGAAGAGACCTGGCCTCTAAAGATTGCTATGACTGTATAAATTCTGCAACCAAAGCCGCCATGGAGAAGTGTCCGAACCAGAAAGAAGCAATCTTGTGGGGTGCCGGAAGCATATGCATGTTAAGGTACTCGAACCGCGACATCTTCGGTTCCATGGAGGTAAAGCCTTCTTTTTCTATGCCTAATCCAAATAACATCTCCACAGATTTGGATAAGTTCAACAAGACTTTGCATGGTTTGGTGGGAAGTCTTGTAGAAAAGGCTTCTTTGGGTTCTGATGTGAAATTTGGAGCTGGTTCTGTGAACAATAGTGTGTATGCATTGGTGCAATGCACACCGGATATCTCACAAGATGATTGTAGTGTTTGTTTGCGCGGCGCTCTAGATGAGGTTTCGAATTGTTGCGGTGGGAAGGAAGGAGGAAGGTTTTTTAGACCCAGTTGTTTTGTTTGGTTTGAGTTATTTAAGTTTTATGATGATCAGTTTGGTGGTTATGATGCATCTCTTTCACCACCACTGTTAGGGAATTCTCCAACAGAACCAGCTGTTACATCTCCCCCCACAAGCGTAAAAGGTACAAATCTTATCTGTTTTGTGCATTAGATTGTTGTTATATGTGTAGTTATATATATATATATATATATGTTTTATGAGCATTCTCTAGATTGAAAATAAGCCCGTGACTTAGTGGATAAAGTATTTTTTAGTGCTTTGGGAATGAAAATTTTTATCAGTTGTCACTTGTCAGTTTAGTTGTGAATAAAACTACATGTTATGTTTTTACATGTGAATTATTGCGCCAAAAAAGAAAAAATCATCAAGAGTTGAAATGAATCCAATGGGGTAGAGTGTAGACTTGCATAGGAAACAATCTGCTGTTTGTCGAAATAGCCTAGGGGTGGAAATTCGTGTTGGTGTGTTGGGTTTGTATCGTGTCAACCTGCATGTGTAAGAACATTCCTGCCAACACGAGTTCCACATCCGCTGACCCATTTGCATCATTTAGCTGAAATTATCATGTGAATGCTTGCTTTTCCATCATATTTTATCTAGATATATTGGATTTGCAGGCAACAAGAGTTCCACATCTCAAACTGTTATAATTATTATTGTTCCTATACTCGGCTTGGTGACTCTTCTTGCAATCGGTTGTGCCATTTTGCTATATAGGAGGTCAAGGCAAGGTCTACATGGTAAGAAAAATTCGTGTGGTGTGTTTATTATCATAAAAAACAGTTTTAGTGTTTCTGCGATTCCTTTCGATAGAATATGACATTCATGCCAGCCAAGAGAGCTGTAAGGTCCTTGCTCTAATTTGTTGCTCTCTTTCAAAAGACAATGACAGGAACAAAAGTCTAGAGTCATTACAGTTTGACCTCCGAATGATCAAGGAAGCAACGGACGACTTTTCTGATGCTAACAAGCTTGGACAAGGTGGATTTGGTTCAGTTTACAAGGTAACCAAAAAGAAAGAAAGAAAAAAAAAATCTTTATCTTTTAAAAATAGACGAAGTGAAGTAAGGATTCTTAAGAAATCACATAATGTCAAAAGCCAGAGAAATCAGCATTTCAGTCAGTTACATCTATCTAGTTCTATCAATGTTTGAAAACTTTATGATTAACGCCCAAAAGTGATGTTCACAAGCAGTCAATTGTAGCACAGAAGGGCGGTCGTATCCACAGAGAGGTAACAAAATAACAAAAAAAATTAACAGAATAAAAGCGTTAGAGAAAAATAAATAACAAGTGAATTAAAGAAAAAGAAGAGTTTTTGAGATTTTTATTGCAAATAAAAAGGAGAGAAGATTTGTGTGAAAGAAATTCAGTAGTAAAAACGGTAAGGTGTCGAGAATCCCTAATGGTTCGTTCATCAATTCAAGTTTTGATTCACAAAATAAAATGATCGAATAAATTAAATTTCTATGTTGACTCCGGAAATATTATCATTACAAGTTATCCAAAATCGACAATATATCAATTTGGCAATATTGCAGTAAAAGACAATTTGTAAAATAATTTGAATAATAAAACAATGCATGACAGAATTACATAAGAAAAACGTGACTGAACTTATATAAAAATTGACACACAATATTTTAAAAAGTAAAAGAAAGATAGATGAGATTTAATTTATTCAGATGTAGTACAAGGAATCAAAAGCCTGAATTCGGTCACTCAACAAAAGTTCATCTCTAACCTCACCAAAAGAACTCTAGCCTAGCTTGCAAAACATTCTCTTACAAGTTCTAGAGAGAAAATATGAGACTGACAACAAGACGATAGAAAACTGAATATTAAAAGCTTTAAAAACCTTAAGCTAACCCCTCTATTTATAATGTTCAGAGGTTGCCTATCAATTAAGGAAATAAATAATAAAAATAGAAAATTACAAAAGAAAAGAAAATAAAATAAAATTACACATAAATTAGGAGAAATTATATATTTGATTTGGGGAAAAAATATGGTATTTTGCTTTGATTTTTGGGGAAGAAATTCGGATTCATCTCAAAGGGGACACGTGTCGAAGCTTGGTTGGAGAAAAGGAATAGAATTGCCACGTGTCGCGCGTGGAGTGGGCAAAGTGTGCTGGCGCGGTCAGAGTGGAGGACAGCTGTCGCGGCTTCATTGGGAGCTCAGGCTGGCATCGCAGGACCCACGCGGGAGAAAGCTGAAACGCGCACTAATGTCTGCGTGGAAGGAACGCGCGCACTGAGGCCATGCGTGCTGGTGACGCGCGCGAGGAAGAGTGAGCAGACGTGGGAGAGTTGGAATCAGTTTGTGGCTCGGCTCACGCAGCTCTCCCTCTCTCTGATCGGCTTGTGTGGCTCGGCTGAAAGGCTTGGCTCCGGGTGGTTGAAAACATGGCTTTCATGGCTTATTTTTGTGTAGCTTTTTACACTGCTTTTTATCTGTAAATAATTAAGTAAAAACTAGACAAATTTCAATTAAAAATATTGTGAATAAAAATAATAGAATTGTTTAATTAAAGCTTAAATATTTTAATATTATATAAATCAAAAGCAGTATTTAGGGTGCATTTTCATGCACTAATCACAACCCCCAACCAGCTTATTGCTAGTCTCTAGCAGTCCAAGCGCAAGAGAAATCATCTCAGAAAGAAAATCTGAGTCTCAACTAGCTTAGTCACCTGAGTATTTCAAACAAACTGTCAGTAAGAAGTCAAAAGATATTATCAAGATTATTGCAGTCATAACTCCAGAGTCGTGTGTGTGCGCTCCAAACCATAACCTTCTTACCACTGACCATAACACATACAGCTTTGAAAAATTCACCAAGTAGAAGTCTCAACTCCATTGATCTCACGGGTGTCAGAAATATTTGAGTGCAAAGGTTTTCTCTCATGGAGTTGGAAATGGAACAATCAACGCTCAGTGTAAGGGAGGTCAAATTTAGGACAAACAGTCAAACGAACATTGACCAAAAGATAGGTTAATCAACTACTAGAACATTCCACCATTCTTACCACAAACCAGCTTTTGGAATTTTATTCAGGTCAGACAGAAATTTACAGAAACGAACAAAGAGCCAAAACAAATGTCTAGGAAAATAAATTACTCTCTTTTTTTTCTTTCTTTTTTTTTTTTGGCAAGAGACAACCTGCAATAATGAAGTGAATGTAGAAAGGTGCTCTTTTGACAAACTAACTATATAGCATCAAATGTGATTTCAACCAAACTATATGATCTGTAAAATGTTGCTCTTGCTCAGTTTTTTTTTTGACGATTAAGAAATGTGGCTCTATTACATAAGATCATTCCTATCTAACCTAAAATCCACCCCTCAAGCATATGCACAAAGCACACCACTAACTATGTAATGATGTTCTAACAGTGATTTTACCAGCTCAAAAGATCAATGAAGGTTCAAAATCATTTTTTCTACTCTCTTAACACACCAAAAATCAAGCACTTAAAGTCGAGAATTTTCTCAGCTGACATGCATTAACATCCATCTTACTATAATGTTTAGCATGTGCAAAAGGAAACTCTGGAAGTCATTTCTTAGTAACCAAGACAGCAAAAATCGACCCAAACTAATCATTTTAAATCATACTCAGACAACTTTGTAAAAATTTTAACCCAACTATCAACATGACAAAAATCATTCTTACGCATGAATATGCTCACCACCCCCAACTAAAATTAGACAGTGTCCTTAGTGTCAAATTATGAAAATATAGAGAAAGAAGACACCTGGACGATGAACATTCCACATATGAGCACAGCTTGAGCCTCCTGATATGATTATCCAAAAAAACACACAAAAAAAATGTAAAAAGAAGCAAAGAAAATAAAAAAAAAATGAAGATATGGTACATGAGATGTGAGCCAACTACTCAGGGCTGGTAAACGGGGTTGTTGAGAATGATCTCTTCAACCTGGTTCACCCGCTCTAAGTAATTCTTCAGACGCTGGCCATTTACTTTAAAGATTCTCTTATCGGTTGGGTCCTCAACCTCGACAGCATCATTGGGAAAAATACGTTTCACTACAAAAGGGTCAGTCCACCGCGACCTTAACTTGCCGGGGTGGAGATGCAAACGAGAATCATAGAGATGAACCCGCTGATTTGGCTCGAAGTTCTTCCTCAGGATTTGCTTGTCATAGCTGCTTTCATTTTTACCTTGATCATGGAATTGTGCTATTTCAGCATGTTGATCAATCGTTGTTCTCCCAAGAACGCATGTTTTAGGCCCTCAGGTAGTTGGGCTAGCTTGACTTTTGGAGCCTCCTCGGTGGATGATTTCAGTTTTTCTCCTTCTGTTGGGAGCTCCTCAAAACATGGTGGAAACTTGGTTCCTCTGTCCTGTGAGTTGCTGAAAATTACAGATAAGTGAGCCAACTAACAAAACCGGAATTTTCAGAATCAGAATTTTGGAGGAGGTTTTCCAGATCTTCATAGTTACTTTGCAGTTGAACCTCATCCTCAACAAGTGTGTCGATCATGAATGTTTGCTGACACTTGTCGTCATCACGTGGTTGCTTTTGAATATGAAAAATATTCACCTCAAGGGTCATATTCCCGAAAGATATCTTCATGAGACCATTTATACAATTGATAAGTGCGTTTGCTGTGGCAAGGAAAAGTCTTCCTAGAATGATGAGAATGGATGACTCCATATTTATCACGGATTGTGTATCCACGACAAGAAAGTCCAAGGGGTAATAAAACTTGTCGACTTGCAACAGAACGTCTTCCACTATTCCCCGTGGTCTCTTAATGGATCTATCGGCTAGTTGTAGAACCACAGATGTGGGCTTAATCTCTCCAAGACCTAATTACGAGTAGACCGAATAAGGCATGAGGTTAACGCTTAATCCTAGGTCTAGTAACACTTGACAGAATTCATGTGTCCCGATCTGGCAAGAAATGGTGGGACAACCTGGATCCTTATACTTCGGCGGTGTCTTTTGCTCAATCATCACACTTACTTGTTCTATCAAGAATGCAGTCTTCTTGACATGGTGCTTTCTCTTTATGGTGTATAGATCCTTTATAACCTTGGCGTAGGCCGGCACTTGCTTGATGACATGTAGTAAGGGAAGATTGATATTCAATCGTGTCAAGTGCTCTACGATCTCACTTTGATTTTCTGGCACTTTCCCAGCAGGTCGGAGAGCTTGGAAAAAATGCACCTTTACCTGAATTTTTGTTGGCTCTTCTTTCTCCTGAGCCGATTCTTCAATACTCGAAGTGGTTGTCCTTGTCGATGACGTGTCCAAATTCTTACAACTTCGAGTAAAGATGGCATTAACTTTCTTGATATTTTGACCTTCAGAGTTGGAATTTTGAGCCATGTGTTGTCCTCTCAGATTGGACTGGGCTTGTGATGGAAATTTACCGCGCTCTTGAATGGCGTGTATGAATTCTTACCACTTCGAGTAGTGATGACGTTAACTTCCTTTATATTTTGACCTTTAGAGTTGGAAGTTTGAGCCATGTTTTGTCCTCTCAAATTGGACTGGGCTTGTGATGGAAATCTGCCGCGCTCTTGAACGGTTAAATCTTCTGTCAGCTTGGTGATCTGAATTTTTATTTCCTTGTTCTCTTCCACTAGCTGCGCGAGCATTGAATCAACTCTTTGATTCGTCTTATTTTGCGCATCCATAAAAGCTTTTAGGGTATCCTCTGGAGAATTCTCTTTCAGCTGCATGTTATTATGATGCGCAAAATATGTCATTGGTGATTGAGATTGTTGTTCTGATTTTCATTGCCCTCCAGATGATTGTGCATGTTAGTTTGGATCCCTCCAATTGAAGTTTAGGTCCCTCCAACTGAAGTTTGGGTGGTGTTTCCAGTTATCATTATAAGTGTTTGAGAAAGGTCCATAAGGCTTATTGTATGTGCCTAATACATTGCACTACTCCTCGTATACCCCTCTCATTTCACCAAAAGTGAGACAATCTTGAGCCAGATGGCCCATTCCACCACAAATGAAACAGGGCTCATGTGCCTCTGTCCTTGCCACCATGTGGGGTCCTTTACTATCTTTATTTTTGAGGGTCTCGATTTGCTTCGTCAAAGCTTCAACTTGGGCATTGAGACTGTCCTCTTCCCTTAATTGATAAACTCCAACTGGTCGGGACCTACTGGTGCTCTCAGTAGCACTCGGTCCAGTCCAAGTATGAGCTTTCTCAGCTAACTCATTCAGGTACTCGATAGCTTCGTCAGGATCCTTTTGGAGAAAATCCCCATTGCACATCATCTCAACAAATTGGCGCTCTCAGATTGTGAGTCCATCGTAGAAATAGCTTACGAGGCGCCAACTTTCATATCCATGGTGGGGACACAGATTTAACAGATATTTAAAACGCTCCCAAGCTTGATAGAGAGTTTCGTTTTCCTTCTGAGCGAAATTCGAGATCTGTCGTTTTAAATTGTTGGTCTTATGGTGTGGGAAATACTCGTTGAAGAATGTCGTCGTCATTTCTTCCCACGTACAATAGACTTGGGCCTAAGAGAATACAACCAGCTTTTGGCCTTGTCCTTCAGAGAGAGAGAGAAAAACTTCAATCTGACGGTGTTTGTGTTCTCAGCACGGCTGTGAAAGGTGGCCACCACCTCTTCAAACTCCCGGATGTGTACATATGGGTTCTCGTTCTCTAACCCGTGAAAGGTTGGGAGAAGTGCAATCATGCCCGGCTTGAAATCCGTAAGCGGTGCATTCGGTGGGAACATGATGCAAGATGGGGTGGTACGTGTTGGGTGTAGGTAATCTTGCAACGTCCTCTGCTGAACTTCCTCGTGTTGTGCCATTGCGAATAGATTTTCAAATGCGAATTCCAACGACGAGTGTGAAGACGGAGGCGTAGAAGACGAGTCAGACAGAATTTCACTAGAGGTTTCTACGTCTGGACGTTGAGTGAATCTCCCTAGCTCGTCTCTATACTAATGCATTCACCCAAAGCAGTTTTTTTTTATTTTTAATTTTTTAATTTTTTTTTTGTGTTTTTTTGTTTTTTTTTTGTTTTTATTTTTAATCAAAGCAAAAGAAAATAACTATATAGTAACGTAAATTGTAACCACCGAGAGTGCTATCAGGAAAGACTTTAGCTCTTGACTCAATGAATAGTCTCCTAGACAGAGCAACGCTCCCAGGAAAGATTGGTGGGGCGAGGCCCAATTAAGTACCAACATTTCTAGACAGAACTCCCTCAGATTGTATTTTCTACGTAACCACACAATTATCCTCAAAATCAATTATTAAATTTTATTGAATAACATTGTGCAAAGACCATATTGTAAGAAATATATTAAGTACATTTTTTTCTTATAAAGACCACATTATAATAAAGATGTTTACATATTTTGAGAAAAATTATTTTAATAAAGACAAATAGAATAAATTATTTTCATGATGCATAATTATTATCAATAGCAGAGAAATGGCACAAAAAGACAAAATAGATGAACCAAAAGTTTGAATAGGGAATTGTGAGAGGATGAATAGTAATTGCATTGAGCTTTGTATATATGCTATAGATATAGATTATAGATTATAAATTATAGATTATACACATATATAAGTAATGTTATACTGGCTGTTATAACATGTTTTGTTTTCTTCTTAACCACCTAAATTGCACAACCCACACACAATCACTCATGTTTTTATCTATACAATTTCTTTTCCTCGCACAACACCTCCCTAATCACTACTAATTTTCTACATATATTTTCCTTAATTAATCTTTTATGCTCTTAGTACAATACCTTCTTGATGCTTATGACACAGATTAATTTAACAGACTAATACATACATATATACACACATATATATACATTTACAATATTTTCTTGTTTTATTTCTCTCTTTGTTTTACTGTCAGGTTCATCAACATTTAAACTCTTAATGGGGAATCCTTTCCACAATGATTTCAAAGTCGCAGAGCTTATTATCAGTTCTGGAATTTGGAACCAGTCTTTTCTTCAACAACTCTTTCTCCTACTGACAGAAAAAGAATTTCAGCCATTCCTTTTGAGTGTTTGTTTAACGCCCAAAAATTATATTCACAAGCGGTTAATTGTAACATAAAAAGGCGATCGTATCTATAGAGAGAAGACAAAATAAACAAGAAAGATTAGCATAATAAAAACGTTAAAAATAAATAAATAACAAGTGAATTAAAGAAAAAGAAGAGTTATTTTAGGTTTTGTTGCAAATAAAATAAAAATGAGAGAAGATTTATGTGAAGGATATCAGTAGTGAAAACGGTAAGGTGTTGATAATCTCTTATGTTCGTTCACTAATTTAAGTTTTGATTCACAAAATAAAAGCATCGAATAAATTAAATCTCTATGTTGACTCTAAAAATATTATTATTACAAGTTATCAAAAATCGACAATATATCAATTTGACAATATTGCAGTAAAAGACAATTTGTAAAATAATTTGAATAATAAAACAATGCATGACAGAATTACATAAGAAAAACGTGACTGAACTTATATAAAAATTGGCACACAATATTTTGAAAAGTAAAAGAAAGATAGATGAGATTTAATTCATTCAGATGTAGCATAAGGAATCAAAAGACCCGAATTGGGTCGCTCAACAAAAGTTCATCTCTAACCTTACCAAGAGAACTCTAGCCTAACTTGCAAAACATTCTCACAAGTTCTAGAGAGAAAATAGGAGACTAACAGTAAGACGACAGAAAACTGAATATTAAAAGCTTTAAAAACCGTAGGCTAACCCCTCTATTTATAGTGTTCAGAAGTTGCCTGTCAATTAAGGAAATAAATAATAAAAATAGAAAATTACAAAAGAAAATAAAATAAAATAAAATTACACATAAATTAAGAGAAATCATATATTTGATTTGGGGAAGAAATCTGATAATTTGCTCTGATTTTTGGGGAAGAAATTCGGATTCATCTCAAAGGGGACACGTGTCGAAGCTTGGTTGGAGAAAAGGAAGAGAATTGCCACGTGTTGCGCGCGGAGTGGGCAAAGTGTGCTGGCGCGGTCAAAGTGGAGGACAGCTGTCGCGGCTTCATTGGGAACTCAGGCTGGCATCGCAGACGCGGGACCCACGCGGGAGAAAGCTGAAACGCACGCTGATGTCTGCGTGGAAGGAACACGCGCGTTGAGGCCATGCGTCCTGGTGACGCGCGCGAGGAAGAGTGAGGAAACGTGGGAGAGCTGGAATCAGCTTGTGGCTCGGCTCACGCGTCTCTCCCTCGCTCTGATCGGCTTGTGCGGCTCGGCTGAAAGGCTTGGCTCTGGGTGGTTGAAAACATGGCTTTCATGGCTTATTTTTGTGTAGCTTTTTACACTGCTTTTTATCTGTAAATAATTAAGTAAAAACTAGACAAATTCCAATTAAAAATATTGTGAATAAAAATAATGGAATTGTTTAATTAAAGCTTAAATATTTTAATATTATATAAATTAAAAGTAGTATTTAGAGTGCATTTTCATGCACTAATCACTTTACTTTTTCAAAAACGCTTAATTAAACCATTTTTCGTGCTGATATTTTCTCAGGGCAGACTTCCAAATGGTCAAGAAATTGCTGTGAAGCGGTTATCGGGACATTCTAATCAAGGAGAAGAGCAATTCATGAATGAGATATTGTTAGTGGCTAAGCTTCAACACAGAAACCTTGTTAGTCTTTTGGGTTTTTGCTCGGAAGCAAGTGAAAGACTCCTAATATATGAGTTTCTAGGCAATGGCAGCTTGGACCATTTTATATTCGGTACAGCTTTATGTGCTCCTATAAACTAAGTGCATTTCTATTTGTACATACATACATATACGTGTGTGTTTTATTGTATGGAACTGATCACTATGTCTAACAAATGTGTAGATCCGATCAAGCATATCGAACTAAATTGGGAATTGCGTTACAAAATCATATGCGGGATTGCTCGAGGAATGCTTTATCTTCATGAAGATTCTAAGCATAGAGTTATCCATCGCGATCTTAAAGCAAGCAACGTGTTGTTAGACGAAAACATGAGTCCAAAGATTTCAGATTTTGGCATGGCAAGGATGTTCGTTATGGATCAAAGTGAAGCCAATACTTGCAGACACATGGGAACTTAGTAAGTATCAGAATATCACCCAAAATCTAATGATCTCTTAAGTCTGTTCAGTGCTAATACTTTTAGACTCTGGTATGTGCATTATGAGTCATACAAATGTCTTGAAAAGCTACATAAAATTTATAACATACTAAGTAGCAGTGTGCTATTGATGTGCTGGTTATGCAGTGGCTATATGGCTCCGGAATATGCATTACATGGACGCTTCTCAGTGAAGTCTGATGTCTTCAGTTTTGGTGTCTTGATTCTAGAGTTAGTGAGTGGTAAGAAGAACAGCTGGTGGGATAGTTCAGAAGATCTGGTGCACCTTCCGAGCTATGTAAGTATACTTGGTTTTCCCATATCCAAAACCATCTTTTGGTATTAGATTCCATTGTGTGAAAGGTCTTTAGCTCTAACAAAGAAGCTCATTCATACTTGTTTGTAGACGTGGAAAAATTGGAGAGAAGGTACTGCTTTGAACCTGATAGACTCAACACTCGACCGGGAAGGTTCAACAAGTTGTGAAATTATGAGGTGCATTCATATTGGGTTACTGTGTGTTCAAGAAAATGTGGAACAAAGACCCGCCATGAATTCGGTGGTTCTTATGCTCACTAGCCACTCCATGACTCTCCCTGTTCCTTCTCGCCCCGCGTTTTTCATGTACAATAGCACAGTAGCAGGGTCTAATTCAAAGGAGACTGAGTCAGAGCAATCTGCAGCCACAGACGGAACAACCTATTTCTTTCGCACATAATGTACATGAGCCTGATTCATCAATTGGTAATGCCCTCATTTCAAATATGTGGCTTTAAAGGAAATAACCTCAGAAACATAACGGAATCTTCTACATTCATGTGGTATTTGGTCATTTTTGTTGTGACTATTGCTATGTATGTTCATAATTTAGCAAGTGATTAGATACTTTTGCATAGATGGCATTCTTAGGAATTAATATCACACTGAATGTGAGAGCTACATCAACTTTGCCACTGCGATTTTCACCATAATCTGAGAACGTGTACAAGATGATTTTACACCTTACAATCGTCTCTCTTCTCTCTAAGTCTCACTAAAAAAACCGCCTGCCATAAAAGTCCCTTTATGCAGTACAAAATTTAAGGAAGACGACTAGACTGAGCACATGCTGAAACACCGAAAATACCCCTGAAAATAGGTTAAACCGCGGTCGGTCGCTTGGAAAAAAATGTACAATATGATTAGGCCCCACACATTTTTCAAAACATCTATTGTAGTAATAGTATCTCAGATTTCATGTATGCTATTACCATGCTTGGTAAAGTTTAGATTTTTCTGATCCAGCCGAAGGCAAAAGGTTCAGAAAACTTTGCCCTTCTTTCCTACCACATGGTCACTAAAGGACTCATTGTTCATGTTGTGGCTAGTAGGAACCTATGTAGAAATTCTTGAATGAATAATATTAACTATATTGAGTCTTTCTTGTCTTTAACTACAAGCTATGTCTAACTTCTTTTTCTCTTTGATACCCGGTCTTAGATATGGGCAACTTGCTCAGAATTTACGATAAAATACCTATGCAAAAACCCATCTTTGTAACAAGAAGTCAGAATATGTTGATTGCAGAATAGTCGCATTCAATCTCTTTCACACAACTAAGACTAAACATATTTAGTGCTTGTTTGGTTTGAGTGTTCAAACTAGGTGGTTTGAATCAGAATTTAAATTTTATGAGAGAAAACACTGTAGCAAAAATTTTAGAATTTAAATTTTTTTGAGAGAAAGTAATGTTTGAACCAAAACTTGAGCGGATTTGAACCCTCAAACTAAACATGCACTAAACATGCACTTAGCTTCTTTGCTGAAGGAAATTCTCAGGAGTGATGAAGATGCGAAAATTTGAAGTTCCATTTATCATATATCATAATTTTCTTTTTTTAAATGTGTGTGAAGTTTTTTTCTTTTTCCAAAAAATGTATTTGAAATTGGGTAAACTTTGTATCTTTGCTTGCAAAAAACAGCAATTGAATATCTCAAAACATCACAGAGAAGCTTTTGTTCTTATTCTCTTATTATATTCACATGTGTATTTAGTATTGTTAGTCCCTAACTATGAACATTGTACCATTTGATTATCAAACATTTTTTCTTAACAGATATTTACTTATAGAACTTTGATTTTGGCACTTTTTTTTTAGTCCTCAACACTTAAAGTTGACGAATAACTTTTGAAATTCCATAGAAATAATCACGTCCCAATCACATTGTAATAGCAAGAATAGGGTCCAACACATTTGCTATCACAAACATGATATTATAGTATGGTGTTTTTTTTTTTTTTTTCCTTTTTTTTTAAGAACATATGATTACATGACAGGCATCCAAAAATTAGTTTTTTTTTTCTTCCCAATGAACCATCTAATCCACAAATTTGTATCATGACAAACAAGAAACTTGCATGCCAATCCACAAAGCATCATTACCAAGAAAGGGGTTTTCAAAACGGTCACTATAATTATGGAGCTGTTCTTTTACCGTTTTTGAGTTAGGTGACTTGAATGTAGATTTTGAGTTGAATTTGAGTTATAACTTGATTTGAAGTTGTAACTTGAGTTTGTGTTTAGTTGTGTACATTTGAGTTATGGTTTGAAATAAGAATCTTTTTGAGTTTGTGTTTGAGTGAGTCAAAACTTGAATTTGTATTTAGATAGTATTTTAATAAAAACTCAATGTTGATGAAAAATTTTAATAGGGTATATGGGTAGGGTTTTATTCGTCTTTTCGTTGTCAACGCATAGAAAAAAAATCATCTCAGTCAGAATTAAAACGAAAAAGTGATAGCATTTTTAAGAATAGAAAAAATACTGTTCATTAATTTGAGTTTGAGTTTCTGAACTTAAGTTAAAGAGGAAACTTGAACTCGAGTTTTAGTCTCAAACTCGAGTTCAAACTTAAAAGAATATGAACTCAAATAAAATTATAACTTGAGTTACTTTTTTTGATTTTGTAACTAAAAAATGGAGCTGCTGAACGGCCAATATTCTTCAGAATTCTTTGAAAAAAGAAACTTCTTTATTCAAGTGCCAAATAAAGAAAACTAATCAATCAGTGCAGTGCCAACTACGTTGGTATACATGTCATATCGAATCTTATGGCACATCCATTGTTAAGTATATCTTATATTATTCTTATTGCATATTTTTTTTATAATTAATTTCTGCAAACTACTTGATTTGAGCTGATTAATAAACTGCTTTATGTGATCACTAGCACAAAGAACTTATTCCTTCCTTTCATATCCTAGGGTGTTTTCTTTTCTATATATTAATCAGATTCGTTGCTCACTTCATAATGGATTTTCTCAACTTGTATTAAAGCTTAATCTTATTCATATCAGTGATTGAAATAGAGATCACTATGAGAAATAATATTAAATAATAATAACAACAATGAAAGACCTTTTGAATAAAGAATGAATTTTGGACATTTTCTTTTCCTGTATTCTCACACTCAATGATTAAAGAATGCATACAAAAGCTTTCCAGAACCTTTGACGCTCTGCGGAATTAATGAATTTAAAAGACGATATTCTTATTGATAAGTATTCTTGATTAAAATAGTAATGCTTATGTCAAAGAAGAATACAGTCTCTAACGTTTTGACATTATACCATATTTATGATAACTTCTACCCTTTTTATTTACCAGTAACAACTATTGTTTTAACCGATAGATTAAGATTTCAACGAGCAAAAATTTGTAGCACAAAATACAAAATTGCTACAATCACAAATTAAGTTGTTGAAAACTTAAGAGGAAATGAGACAAATATTTTTAAAGGGTATGTGTCTAGATTTTTACGCCTCATTCTTAGTTAATATCTTTTTTAATCAAATAATAACATTTGTCAAAAAGGTACATATTAATCAAGAGTAGGCGGTAAAAATCCTAACGTATGCACTCTAAAGATAAATTCAATAATTTTCTCAAAACTTAATCCAACAGTCAAAACAATAATAGTACTTACTTATAGTTGAAAAGGATAAGTCTTACCATAGAAACTATATTTATTGTAAAAAAAAATGATTTTTTACTATGGTAAGGAATACTCCTCTGTTTCTCTCGCTCACTCTCTTCTCATCTTCTCATAAGAAGTGTAATGATTGACACTCTTTTTTATTTTTTATTTTTACATAGTGTATAATGGATATTCTCAACTTGTATTAAAGCTTAATCTTATTCATATCAGTGATTGAAATAGAGATCACTATGAGAATAATATTAAATAATAATAACAACAATGAAAGACCTTTTGAATAAAGAATGAATTTTGGACATTTTCTTTTCCTGTATTCTCACACTCAATGATTAAAGAATACATACAAAAGCTTTCCAGAACCTTTGACGCTCTGCGGAATTAATGAATTTAAAAGATGATATTCTTATTGATAAGTATTCTTGATTAAAATAGTAATGCTTATGTCAAAGAAGAATACAGTTTCTAACGTTTTGACATTATACCATATTTATGATAACTTCTACCCTTTTTATTTACCAGTAACAACTATTGTTTTAACCGATAGATTAAGATTTCAACGAGCAAAAATTTGTAGCACAAAATACAAAATTGCCACAATCACAAATTAAGTTGTTGAAAACTTTAGAGGAAATGAGACAAATATTTTTAAAGGGTATGTGTCTACATTTTTACGCCTCATTCTTAGTTAATATCTTTTTTAATTAAATAACAACATTTGTCAAAAAGGTACATATTAATCAAGAGTAGGCGGTAAAAATCCTAACGTATGCACTCTAAAGATAAATTCAATAATTTTCTCAAAACTTAATCCAACAGTCAAAACAATAATAGTACTTACTTATAGTTGAAAAGGATAGGTCTTACCATAGAAACTATATTTATTGTAAAAAAAATGATTTTTTACTATGGTAAGGAATACTCTTCTGTTTCTCTCGCTCACTCTCTTCTCATCTTCTCATAAGAAGTGTAATGATTGACACTCTTTTTTATTTTTTATTTTTACATAGTGTGCGGCACACTAAACTATCATTACTAATTTTATAAGTAAACAAATAGAAATAGGAGTACTCCCTGCTTTCCCATTTCTTTTCATGGGAAGTAAACGCAGGCAAATGTGTGATAAAATCTACCACTTATGTATCCTTTTCTCAATAAAATCTATAACTTGATACATTTTAATAGGTAGTATTGTAATCAATTTTATAACTGCATGCATTATAGTAGGTAGTATTGTAATGCTAAAAATTAGCAATTTCATATTGTTGTATATGATTTACAATGCTCTTAATTGGAGTCAATTGGCCTTTCGGTGCAAAAGATAAACAAGAACAATGGCAAGAATGGAATATTCTCCCATTTTGCTTGGTGGGTGTGGCAAGGAATCTCATGTATAATCCATGTGGGCAGAAAATTTTCCTTTCTTTTTCTCGTTTCCACATTTCCCCTTTTGAAATATTATTTGCATTTGGATTCAATTTTTTTATCTCCTCTTTTTCTGTTTTTGTTTATGGAGCTATAAAAGTGAGCCTCTTCTCTTCATACAAACCAAGGGGACTGAAAACAATGGGAGGTGGGGAAGAAGAAGTAGTACATGTAGAAGAGAGAACCATGGAGATTAGTATTAAGGATCTCTCAAAGAAGCTCGAGGAATTTGCCAAAGCCAGAGATTGGGAGAAGTACCACAGCCCCAGGAATTTACTCCTTGCCATGGTATAATCATGCTTAGTAGTAATACCTTGCCTTGTAATTTTCCATGCTTTTGTTGTTATTTCATTTTTTGCATAGCTTGTTATGCTCGTCTTACCTCTTTTCATTTTTTTTTTTCCTTTAATTGGGGCAAGGAATTCGAACTCTAAACCCAGGGCAATTTTTAAAAATACATCTTAAAATGAAACCTCCTTTTATTTCTACCTCTTAATATTGGCTCATATATTTCTACCTTTTATACTGTAACTAGTTAAGGGATAAGAGTGTTTTAAAAGAGTATTTTTAGTAAGTCGGTTAC